AGCCAGAAATGAACAGCCTGCTGCAGACGCACTGACTGTTGTAGGAATGAATGGCTTTTCACGCCTATTATGATCATACAACATAATGTGGAACAGACAACCACCGCACTGAATAATGCGCCTAATTTTCTTAGTGAGAATCCAATTTGTCTACAACCCGAAGCCTTATATTTAAACACAGAACTAAACTGAGTCTAAAGAGTTAAGAGACAAGGGCAAAGCATTATTGTTGTTTACGTATACTGTGTATTGTAGGGATAGAAAAAAATATGTTTCAATGTAAAATGTATTCGAACTTAATAATTACAACTCCACTTTCCAAACAACACACTAAACATAAAAAAAAAAAAATAGACTATTATGTCATGTTGAAAAGCACTGCTGGAAACCCGCTCATGGACGCTACAACTAGGTGAATGGAACTGAACAGTTCACTTATGTGAACTCACTGAAGGTAACTTATGATGATGATAATAAAGATTATTATCTCAGACATCATCACTGTCGACAATGTTCATATGGATATGCTGTGGTGACACTGGATACCTTCTTACACTCAACTTATTCTGAAGAATTGATTTATTCAATTCTGTGTTCTAACGGTCAAGTGTAAACTAGACCAAGTTTGAAAAAAAAAAAACCTCATTGTCAAGATTAATCAATGTGAAGTTGAGAATAAAGATAACAAATCTTGGACCTCTGTCCAAAACAATATCGATACAGATGCAGAGATGCAATTTGTTTAATTTTTTTTTGTGCAACAAACGATGCGATATCACAATGCATTTCAATTCACGTGCTTGAATAGAGTTTTTAAATCAGTCACAAATATACATTCCCAGATGTGTTGGAACTTCCTCCAGCATGGACAGGAAAATCCAGCATTGTCTATGAAACTGAGTGCAAGAAGGAGACACTATCCAGGTATCTTTATGCTATTGTTTTCCTTAGGCCATACCCTTACCCATTTGCCTTTTGTCTGTGTGATTTGTTATGTATTCAATGGTAATTGGCAGGTGATCCATAACATAAGCCAAATGTTTTCAGGGGAGATGTTTCTAAAGGGCTGAGAGGTGTTTATTGCCAACTTAACCTGGCGAGGAGTTGATGAATGCACATACGAATCTCATTTCTAAAGGTTAATGCTTTGGAGAATTCAGAGTCATAAAAATAAGTTTGGTGTGATCTTAAGGAAAGGCTGCTACACTTCTCCCCTTAAGCTCACTCTTATTTAGAGACATGTACCACTGTGAAAAGACACATTAAAGCCCTTATTACTGGATAAAACACCTTTTTTATTTGAAGTCATGCACTATGGACATATGACTCATGTCTAAATAAAATTGGGATGATCTCATTGAACGCTGGACTACGTTAGCACTAGCCTTTCAGGAGGTCAGCGTGGTCAGATGGGAGACACTTGGGTAAAAAAATGAAGCTTTCTTGGACAGCTCTTGCAATAACGTGAATAGATGTAGTTTTGTCTGCAATTAAACCCTCTCTGATTACGTCTCTCTGGCTATCGATTGGAAAGTTTCACTTAATAACCGCTAATATGTTCTCTTATCTTAACCCCAAGGTCTAGCCTTCCAGGACTCACTGTGCACCAGATTTATGCCTTGGCTCTCATATTCTCTCCGCCGGGGAAAAGCTGTGCGATTCCTGCAAGCTTCTTGTTAAACTACTTTATGAAACACTCTGCTCATTTCCACCGCAGGTCATATCCATCTGGAAAAAGGCAGAGAGAAGGGAATAAAATGACTGAAGCTGCATTGTAAAAAGCTCTATCAAAAAATATTGAGCCTGCAATAAAGAATCGTGAGCAGAAAATCTCAGTTCACAGTAATTCTACTGACTGGAAAGTGAGCAGTTATTGGCTTGTTAAGGTAACAGTAGCTAGTCCCACAATCTTACACTGGTAGAAGAGGTGACATGCTTCCACACTGCAAAATACTCAAAGGAAAAGGTACTCATGACAGAAGTCACTGCTCTTCAAGCATACAAAATATAGCTAATGAAAAGAGCCACTTAACGTTTTTTTATGTAAAAGGTAGAGTTGTGTGGATGAGTGCAGAACAGGGAAGGATGCAGGGAGGAAAATGGCAAAAAGTACTTTTTGTTTTGTGATGCAGTTCTGAAGACTTGCTTTTTACGCCTTTCTCTTCTCTGTAACGCTGATTCGTGTGACCCAAGTGATGATTCTGTGATTGCAAAATAATTAAAAATGCGTATGTGTTGTTTTGTCAGTTTGTCCCATGAATAAAAGTCTGTTGGTTTCACACATGAAGGAGCTGTGCAGGTGCAAGGTCTTTTCTTAAACTCTTTTGCCATTAGTTTCTCTTTAGAAAGTTGGAATCTTTGAGCCGCAATGCAATGCACTGAATTACTCCCACCCTTTTAGTAGCCAATTGTAACACTTATTCCGGCGAGGGTTTCCTGAAAAGACAAACGTGTTGCTTTTACATAACATTGCATCCTTTTCATTCCATACTCCTTCACAAATGCATGGAGCACTTTCCTGGGACGGCTCCAAAAGTCTGTTTGCTCCAAAGGCAACATAGACTCCTTGAATATAAGAAATTCACCCTTCACAGCTTACGCCTCTGAATCATACACCTGTTTGGTTTCGGCGTGCCAGTCTTCCTCTCGTGCTCCCTGCTCACCCATGTGAACATGGCGCAGGTTGTCCATAGCATTGCCCCCAGGCCTCGCAATGTGTTCAAACTCCCGGGCCGCCTGTGTGTTACGGACTGGATGGCTGGACTCATGCATAGGGAAGCAGGCTGAATTAAATAAATAATAGTGTGGCCTTACTCTGGGTGAGTAGTCATAGAGACAAAGCCGATTTTATTTCCAAGTGGCAGACATACTGTCTTTTGGCTCTGCTCATTGTGGTAAGAACAAAGCTTCAGGTGAATTACTATATTGTCTGAAGGTAAACATAGTAAATATTTGGTCTACAACCAAATATTAAATTTTTTATATTGTGAAGATTTTATTAGTGGCGCACAGTCCTTGAAGGTGTTGTTTATTTTAAATGCAGATAGTAATCGATGCCTCATATACATGTACAGTCCCATGCGATATTGATAGAAAAGCTATTTCTTAGCAAAACATGTTTTGTTCATAAACAAAATCATAATGCTAGAAAGAACAGTGTGGCAGCCATACACTTGCTGTAGCTATTTTCCCAACAAGATGAACATAGTCTTTTGGAAGTGTCTCTTGCAGATGGATAGATGGTTTGTTTTCTGTTCTCCCCGTCTAGTGTCTGATCTTGGGCTAACTGCTGCATTCATCAAAGGCCTAGTCAGACACACAGAGACAATAGCTAATGAGTAGGCAATCCCAGTTGGGCTGATCCAGGCTTTGGAGCTCCAGACAATGCAACAACATCTGTGCTGCTCAGTGCTGCTGTGCACTGACAGAAGCATCCCGAGAGAAAACTGGTGGTGTTTAAGTGGGGGGAGGGGCTGGTGTCTTTACTTGTCCTGGACATACACACCATTGCCCCTCTGTCCGCTCATCACCCATCTGCACCAAGGTCCTGACATGCGCAAGAGGACACTCAAAAAAATCAATTTCTCTGCCAAGTATAAAGCAACGCTGAACCCCAGCAACTAAAAAGGTATTTGAAATGTCAAGACTTGGAGTTAGCACCGAAAGGGGGAAGAAAGAGATTATTTTTTTCCAGCGGTGAGAAGGAGGAGGCTGGGGGAACAGGTGTGGACCTCCCTGTGGATAGAGATCCTCAAGGGGAGGGTTAGCACTGACTGGAGCTGGATGGATGCCTCCCCACCACCACAGAGGAGCGCATTATTCAATGGGGATTCTGTGCTTTGCTTGTTCATACGCAGAATTATTTATGTTGAGAGGAGCCATGCCTGCATGAAGATCCATTCATTTATTTTTAGACAGAACACAATATAAACATACTTTAGTGTTAAACAGCATATGATAATTAGAAGTGTGATCAAGAACCGGTATGTGAAAACAACAAGACTTTTCCAGAATGTTATCTACAGTGACAGGAGTGGAACATGCATATTGTCCAGGGACACAATGATAGTAAAGGTTTTGTATCTGAATGGTAAAAAAGTTGCTCCCAAGTGTCTTTTTTTTTTACAGACCACAAAGTAACGCTTCGGGCTGAGGCCCTTCATCTGACATTAATTCCTAGAGACACCTGGTTGCAATTTTAAAGTCCAAGTCATGAGAGTTTTCACATTGAAATGTGTATACAGTATACCCAGCGAAAGTAAATAAAGCAACAACAAAAAGTATATATTTTCTACATGAAACATTATTCTGTAAGTAACAACTTACTTCACAAGTAGCTAAGTCATAGCATAGCAAATACTTTTTGGCTTCGATCTTCCTTGACTTCCTCATTTGAATGGACACGTCTTTAAGTGTAGGGGTTCCTTTGGAACTGCTTCTGTTGCTTCCCAAGTTGCTCCACTTTGATAGCATCAGAAATGTTATTCTCCATTGGCCCCCAACAGTGGCTTTGGATATGTTCAATATCCTTTAATAAAAGTTTGAACATGATTGTTCTACTGAATGTAACAGGTCATTCAAGCAACCTGAATTCCCATTGTAATAAATATGTCACGTCAAAGCTCGTCTGAGAAGGAAACGTCGGAAGTTGACGCATTTTTTAGTAACCCTCTAACATGTCATTAGTTAAAGCCATGAATGATCTATAATCACCCAATTTGGTTGATTATAATCAACTGTTTTTGATTAAATAAAGATGTATTGGATATCAATAGTATGTTATTGTAACTGTAAAATTGTAAACCATTCCAGTATTCATCATCCTCACAAAATAAAAAGAAAGGCTTGTAAGACTTGTCATACAGTGTAAGAATGTATTTGTGACATATGTAGCACAACATCCAGTAAAAGAGTGAGGGTCTGTTTGTGATGCCAGATTGGGACACTAACGTGTGCACACCAACTCCCATCAGGACGACAAGGTGTATCTGCTAATTAAAATGCAATCTCGGCTGCTGTGGCCCCTGGAGCAGTGGCTGCAGCAAACGCACCCCGGGCCCCGGGGGCGAGAGGTGCCACCTGCCCAGCCACACCACCTGCGCCACCACTGCCTGCCTTCATTAAGGCCTCCTCTGGTCGCGCTGCCCTGCTACGGCAGTGCTTTATTAGAATTAATGTGGCACTTCAGAGCAGAGTGTCAGTGTGGTGTGGACCAGGGCGCCAGGAGAGAGTACCGGCTTCAGCTTTGTCACATTGAATCAAAGAGCCAGGACCAGCCCCTGGTCCAGATCAGCGTCGACAGCACATGACACAACTGTTTTCTGTGGCCAAAAGAAAGAAAAGTATTCTTTATTCAATCTGTTTGAATTCTTACAGGACAAAATATCAAATAAATGTAGGATAAGCTAAAGTTGAAAAAAAGAGAATGCACTCAAATTGGAAAAAATAAATATTTCAAACAATAGAAAGTGTACTTTGTGTTAAAAGCTTACTATTTGGATCCATATTAGTCCGCTGAGGTAAAGCCATGGCTCTATACATGAGCCTTATGCATTTAGTCTTTGGAAACAGCATGTTTTGAATGTGCGTTTAGCAGGGAGTTTTGTTCAACATTATTAGCAGTCTGTTTGGTCATTTCAGTGAAGATGGATGGAGTCGAAGTGGTGGCAACACTGATGCTACTTGTAGTTAGGCAGCAGGGGAGGGCATTAAAATCTAGTTTGCATCACTCAGTGCCTCCAATTAAACAGGAATAACCAGATACAAGTTCCTGTCTGTGGATGTGTTTTATGAGCTCCTGAGCAGCGGGGGAATTCTCCTGAATATACCGTACATCTCCCCGCCGCTTGGCCATCTCCACTCCATGCCTCAGTTCATTAGTGTTAAAAATGGTAAGCATTTTCAAGCCAGATGTACTTTTTAAGTCTTATTAGCTTCAGATGATGTTGTTTAAGGGGCATGTGAGGCTTCCAATTAGAGCTGTAGAAAACTAAAATAGAAGTTTCTATAAAATATACACATTTATTATATACATATATATAAAGAACATTTACGTCGAGATAGTTTTGGCGCATGGGTCTGACTGTTAGCACTTCTTTATCAAAGGCCGTCATCAATGGGCTTTAATTTACATATGCCGTCAGTTAGAAAGCATACTGTAGATCTTGCAAAAAGGAAACATACATTAATGTCAATATTTCAGATTCACTCACACACAGAGGTTGCAAAAACACTAGTCTTTAGGTATAAATTAATGAATGAGAATATTAATTATAATAATTACATAAGTATCCACAGTAAGGGGATTACAGGTTTGAAGATTACGAACGTGCTCCTTATGATGACCTTAAATTGTATACAAATCAACTCTAGTAAAATTTGAATTATTCTGTTAATTCTTTCTTTTGAAAAGCGTTAAATAAAATACATTTATTTTGTATTATTATAATTAAGTCAAAGTAATTAAGTACACACTTTTATGTAATTATAAACAAAAAAAGTAGATTTATTTTTTCCTAAATAATTACTTAAAAACTTAAATGAGTATTTATTTGTTGCCGCATACTATAACAAAAAAATATAAACATGACAAAGAAAATGCGGAAGCTGTGTGCAGCTGTTATCTGAACTTAAAAGCATGGCAAACCACAATGCATTAATTCCCTTAGTAATAAATGAACTGCCAATCATTGATAAATTACCAAATTGTACATTTTAAAACAAGTCTATTCAAATTGTGAGGGCTGAGTGTTTGTTGTTCCTCATGTGTTTGCCCCTGATCTGCAGCAAGAGACAGTCCACCTTTTTACAACAGTGCACTTCCTGGTTCCCTTAGTCACAAGTGCACTGGAGCTGAGACTGCTGCATCCCAATTCCCTTTACAGTGCTGTCACTATTCATTCATGCTCTGCCCTTCCTACTCTCGCCACAACCTCAACAGGGGCATCGCTCATGATAGAAAACAATGAGTGTGATTTGTGAACTCTTGTCGTCGTTGTAATTTCATCAGTGTAATGGGATTATATTTCAAATCACCACTCCTTTGTTCATTACACGTCTAAACTCCTCTGACAGACAAAAACTTAAATAAAATGTGCATGTCAACCCTGGTTGACTTTGCCCGCTCCTGCACTTGATTAGACAAACAGCGCAGCCAGCTCAGAATAATGTGCTCATTTATTCATTTTTCAGACAAGTCACAATAGATTTTTAACGACCAGTCTTTGACCTCCCTTAGGTACCTCTTGCTTAGGAGGGTTAATAAAGCCGAACGCTCTGCTGCTGGAGCAACAGCAAGCAAGGCGAAAGGAGCGCGCCCACAAGACGCCTGATGAAATAAAGACAGGGCCAAATCAAGAGTCTCCGAAAAACGGCCGCTCCGTGGAGAGAGCACAATGAGGGTGTAGGGGCTGTGCAGAATAGACTGGTATTCCACTTAGATTCCAATTGCACAGGTCTCTGAGGGACAATTAAACCAAGAGAGGAAGAACTGGTCTCTTTTCTCAATGCACTGGGGCGTGCATATTAGACGGTGCAACCATGGCGATGCTCTCAGTTGCACAAGCATACACACACTGGGCGCCGAGCTTGAAAAAGCTCCTCTGAAAACTTCATACTGACATTTCACAACAAGCAGAGATCTCTGCAAGCATTCCCAGAACTTAATAGTGAGCTGTTTGCAGTTTAAGAAACTTCAGCGCATATCTCTGTGTTTTCAAGCAGTTGCGTAATTTTAAGATGTTGTGTGGAAGATGGCTTCAGAAGCAGTGGAAGAAGTTTTTAAGCAAAAGCTCTGAGCAAGGCGAGAGAGGCACAGCATGTGCAGATGTGCTGCCACTACACATCCATCTTGCTTTTGCGCTGAGCTCCTGCTCTATTTGTCTGAATTTGTGTCATTTTAGCTCACTCAGGTCAACGGCAATTCCACCTCCTCCTTCGTCTCAGCCACTTCAGGATCATAATGTGATGCATGTGGGATAGGAACCTGCTAAACACAGTGGCTGTCACTGCTCACACATCACTGGATATAAATGATGCAGCCTTTACCAGTGCAGAGCACTACTACACAGTGTTACAGAGGCACACAAAGAGACATTGCATCAAGTTTTCAATATGAGGCAAACTCCATCATCCCAACTTTGATGTAGTACAGGCCACATCTAAAGAAAGAAAAACTTAAAATCTCTGAAAGACCACTGTGGTACTGACTACTTTCTTAAGTTAAGTCACTTTCCTCACCATTCTGTCAGCAAAGTCCACCACATTTACAAAAATGATTGCATTGACATGCTGGCTCAGGATTGGCCAAATACACAACAGTATGTTGAACATCAATATATGACAGCCATTTTGATGAGCGTAAAGATTTGTTGATCATTCAATCATTCAGCCAATCGGTAGAGGCCTCACTTCTGCCATCCACTGCAGAGCTTCTTTTATGATATTGCATGAATGTAAATTCACAGTGTATAAAATAGTCTCTACTTAGCTGAATGTTAGGGCCATTGTGTGGCCTTGTCTATAGATAGTGCATGGTTTCCACCTGTCCGCCATCACAAATGCGCTCCCCCACATCCTCTCAGGTACTGTAGCATTGTGTCAGCGTGTTAGACTATAATCACACCTCCAGGAGCGGCAGGAAAAAATAACTCTTGGAAATCTGGAAATGGAAATTGTAACAAAGGGATTTCATACTTTTCCAGGGACATAGCTTTGTTTCTTTCCTCTTAGTTGGTGCAGCTCTGTGTGGTGCCTCGTGGGAATGGAGAAAATTACATCCTACCTGATAATTAGCAAAGTTCAGAGCAAACTCAAATGCGCCCCACTCTCTTAGCCCCCCACCACTGGCAGCTTTCTCTTAGCAACTAATTAAGTCCGCCTCTGAGGTTTTCAGACAGCAGTGGTGTTGGATGCTGCAACAACAGAGTTTTAAAAAAAGAAGAAGATGGAAATGAAGAGTGTGAGTTCATTTTTTATTATGTTTCATCTATTTGAAATGTCGAGTAAAATACAATACAATTGTATTCCTTGAGGGGGCTTTATTATTTCACACTCGAATGCATTCTTCAAACAGAAATAACTGTGTTGGCAGCCATTACACATGCTAGCAAATAGCATGGCGTCCTCTGTCCATAATGTGCTTTAATTAATATAATGTCATCATCCATATCCGGCACTGTTGTATGAAAAGGGAACAGCAGAGCGCACCGGGTATTAAATGCAAATCACTAATCTCCCTGCAGTTGAATGAAATCTCAGCATACAGACAGCATTATTAGTGATGTTATCGGCCCAACTGCAAATCAACTCCTCATATGAGACGTACACAACGTGGTGTGATGCATGGGCTCCGTGTTTCACACCATTTGACATATAATATTTCCGTCTGACACTGCACACTGCCCTCCAACAGTCAAACAAAGCGCATCAGTGAAGAGAAACTATCTTGAGAAATCATCCAGAGCAAGAAAAGAACAGAATCAATATTCTGAGAGTAAAAAAGAAAGAAAATGCGAATAAAGAAATGAAAAATACATACATGCAGTTGAAGTAGGCCTGAGACTACTGGTTCTAAAGGTGCCATAATAAACAATATATACTATTGAAATTTGACACATACAGTTAACACAAAAAAATAACACAATTTAAATGTTGTAAAATAACCCAATTGGTATTTTAGGGCTTGCGTAGTGTCTTGCTAAGAGCATTTCCTTATTTTGTGTCAGTCCTGGTACTATGCTGCGAAATTGTACTGTCATAAAGCTGCTCTGAATACAAGTTGCTCATTAGAGACGCTTGAGCCATTGGGCCGCTGCAGTGTAAACGGAGTCAGCTTGAAAACACAAGCCCACAGCCTCTATGATAGGGCTCTGGGCTGCACCGCCAGACTGTTGTGATGTGCTATCCATGAGAGAATGGCCAGGCAGTCATTATTTTCCCCACAATTACCTGAAGTCCTTGATAACGAGCAAGAAAAAAAAAACGCCATATAATTAGAAAAACACCAGCAGCACCATTATTGTCAGGAGAACATAACAGTATAATGAAGCAATTATAAATGAGCCGCTTTGTGCTTGTCATTAATTTCTTGCTTTTAAGGATGTGGAGACGGCGCGCAGCTAAACGTTGGGAGTGGAGGATTTGGGTGGGACAAAGCGCCATGGGACAGAAAAGAAAACGGAGAATCCCACCAATGATGGGTCCAGGCGTGAGGTTTTAATGTGCACAAAAAGTCCACAGGGGGGGCACTTTATAATAACCGGGTGTAATGCTGGTTTAAGGGAGTGAGGGTTTTGTAAAGACGTCCAGG